TGGGCTTGTTGGTTGGTTTCTTGGTGAATTGCTTCAATTCATTTTCCTTCCCTTGTAAGGTCAAGAGAATAACTTGTATTTCCAGATTCTTGAATTTCTCCAACTTCTCTAAGTTTTCAGCTAATTGTCTTTTATTTCATTCTTGGGATACTTCTAAGGCTTCAAGGTGACATTCAACTTTTTCTTCTTCTTCCTCAATTCTAGTTTTCAAATAATCAACAAATAATTCCTTCTCTTCCAATTATTTTTCTAGTTCTTTAATCTTCTCCTCTGAACCTACACTCCTTTCCATAATAAAGTTATATTTTTCAATTTGCTTGTCCAACTTCTTTTTTTAATTCTCTAATTTCCTTTTGGTGAGTAAAGCAATTTCTTTACTTTCATCTTTCTCTTCTAACCCTTTATTTTTCTTTCTAATTCTTTTTGTTCTTTTAATTTCTTTTCAATGCTAAGATAGAGTACTTCTTCTGTTCTATCCAACTTTGAAATGCTTTCTTTTAACTCAGGAAATTTTCCCCACCATAATATTATGTCCATAAATTTTAATATGTAAAGTTGTAAGATTTGCATAAAAAATTATGTAATATTTACACTCAATGTAATATTGCATAATTTTTGTATGCTTATTTGCATAATATTACAGGGCCTGCCATAAACTTACATGTGATTGTTGAGTTTGTCCAATAAATCTTTCAAATTATTTAACTCTTGTTCTAATTTTATATTGTCAATTACTTTTATTTTTTACTTTTTATTATTGTATTTATTACCATAATATATTATTTTAGTACACATTTATAAAAATTTTATATTGGTTTTGGACAAGTAATATCTTTAAATTCATTCCTTACAAATGAGCAAATATTATTATAAAGGTATTCTTGTCTTTTATAATCTAAAGGAGATGGTGTTAACACTAAAATAGATAAAGTTTTATTCTTTTCAAAAAGATCTGATTTATTGGTTTTCAATAAATTGAATTTAGTAAAAGGTCCATCAGCAACCTCCTGAGCTTTGATCATACCAAGATTAGATGCTTCAAAAAGAAAATGTTGATACTTCTGTATATTTGGTAATTTCTTAATAAATTCCCAAAATTGCTTTAATATTCAAGTATTGAAAATCTTTCCATCTTCATAACATTGAGTTTTATTCAATCCTGCTGGACTAGATCTTTTCACTACATCAACCACATGGTCCAGACAATATACTCTTATATTTCTGTAAAGTTTTTTAATCAAGCCAAAACTACCATCACATTTGAATTTGGTATGTCCAGGAATCATGAAATTTAATTCAACACTTTCATAATAACTACAAATTACTATTAGCTTTTATTTTTTATATGAAAAAAAATCTTTTCCTTTCTTTATTTAAAGATAAAGATATTATCCTGTCTTAAACTTGATCAAGATTGCTGAAAAGAAATCATTTTTTAAGTTATAAAAAATTTTTGGAGAGAATCATCTACAAATTACAAAATTGAAAATGAAGGTGTGAGAAATATTTTCCTAAATATATTCAATAAAGCTAAGCAAATGCATTCTTTAGGTAACTCCTAATCCATTCATTGTTTGCTTTGTAGGAACAATAAGAGTGTTTACATAGCTAATGAAGATTTTCAGATTTGGAAATCATAATTTCTATAACCTTTTTTTTCTGAGTTTCAGCATCATCATAATTTAGTTTAAGCAAACTTCTATACATTACACTACAATTTTATGTGGTAATAAACTATCAATTATGCATACAATAAAATTATGCACAAATTATGTACCAAAAAATATCAATTATGCATATGCAGTGATATAAAAAATCTATTTAATTTATATTCAAGGATTGAAATACATCATATTTAATTTTTTTAATTGATAAATTCTGGTAATCACTATCCAAAAAAGAATTATACACAGAACTTCTCTCTACACTACAACTTGGTATAGAAAGCCAATGTAATCCAATGCAACTCTTGAAAATAGGAATTGTTGTGACATACTTAACCAATACTGATTTAAATTAAGATCACCTGAAAATGGATTGTACTCATGACTACCAATTCTATAATCTATACAATCTATCAATGTTGTAATTCTGTTATTGCACTATAATGTCAATCTCTTTTCTTAACATATTTGTTGTAAGAAGGAAAGAAGTATTAAATTACTACTATGCAATTACTATTATTGTCATTAATTATTAATTAAAGATTATAAAGTTTTTATTTTTGGTCAATAATTATGCAGTGATTTTTTTTGATTATGCATTATTCAATAATTTTACCTGATTATGCAATATTATACAGAATGCATTGTTTTTAAAGGTGATTTTTAATAACGTTGGTTTTTTGGTACCAAAGTGAAGAGAAGACCTTGAAATATATATTATAAAACATAAAACATCAATAATCATCACGATGTTTTCGATCACTCTTCTTTGTAGATCTTTGTTGTTTATCTAATTTTCTTTTATTATTTTCTATTTTCTTTCTATCATCAAAAAATTTAAAAAATTAATGAAAAATAATAATATTATTAATATCACATTATATACAATACAAACAATTGTTCAATTCTTTTTAGTTTTTCTTCATCTGGTCCTTTCGGTATTTCAGCAGCTCTTGTTATAAGATCATACAACTTATCAATACAATCTTCTATATTTCTAGATTGTGTACGTGTTAATTGAGACACTAATACAAGTTCTCCTTTCTTATTGATATGATTTGATTCCTATAAAATAAAATAAATAACTAATCAAAATTGCGCATGTGATGCACAAAACGAAATGGAAAAAGAATGAATTGTTTATTGGACCTGGATTTTTATTTTATTTCTTGCATATTCTGGTATCCAATAAGCTTTATCCAGATTAATTCTAATGTCCACCTTGGTATTAACTAAGCTTGTTCGTGTGGAAAGGTAAAATTAGAGAGAAAATAATAAATTATCAAATAAAAATAAGAATATTATCAGCATTGTTAATTTACGTTTGTTAACATTTTGTCCACCAGGTCCACTACTTCTTGCAAAACTAATTTCCAACATTTCTAATTATTATAATTGTATTAATTATTAAATGTTAACATTTAATCTGGAATCCACACCACACTAAAGAAACATGAACAAACCTCTTGGTATTTTTTCTCTTGTAAAGTTCTTTATCCATCTTTCAGCTTTTTCTATATCTTGAGGTGTATCTAAACTTGATATAAATCTTTTTTTAACTAATGATAACAGTGATGTTGATGTTGATGTTGATGGTATGTTGATAATACTAGTAGTAGTCAAATGGTTATTATAACAATTGTAATAGTTTGAAGAAGATCGAGATATTGATTTGAATGGATTTTTTAATAATAATAACAACATTTTGTATTTTTTATATTTAGATTTAAAAAAATCTATTTGAAGATCATTGCGTAATTTGAAATTTCTCCCAAAAATTTATTTCGACACATGATCCGCGGAACTTTTGTTCTTGAGTTCTTAACTGCTACTTTGCTTTCAACTACCATACATCGTGTATGGTGCGGCATGATAGGCCAAAGTGGACAAAGTCGGAAGCGCATCAGATACACATCAAATTCTGATATGCACTTGATAAGTCACCTGATAATTACATGCGTTCCTTTATACTAGATTCTGATGTAACTAACGTAACTAAAATCTACCAAAAATGCGAATTCTTAGCATGATTCCTCCACATAATTATCGGGTGAATAGTGCATTATTTTTTTACAGTGTACAATCTATATTTAATATATTACTCCTAGGAACTAACAGCTTCATGAAAAGAAAAGGCGGCTCAAATGATTTGATTAGATTTGGAAGGCGTTTGCTTATTTAAATTGTTTATTGTGTTTTTACTATGTAATTAATCATTCAAAATAACCAATAAAAAAATAACGCGATGACATTGAAAAAAATAAAATAAAAAAATACCCCAATTAAAAAGGAACAACCAATCAATATTTTGAAATATCTCTATCACAATAAAGTTTGGATCCCAATCTATACAATTACGGAGTTGTTTTTTGAAAGGATCTAATAAAAACGGATTTCTATTCTAGTGATAATTATTGGCATTTAGATATGAAATTTTTAATTATAATCTTTTATTGCGTGATTTGTTTATACTTCTTTTTAAAAGATTTAGAAATCCAAATCAGGAGATCAACATTAATTTAATTGATCAATTTCAGAAACATGCAATTTTATATGTATAATCTACAAAATTTGGGCTGAAAAACTATATAATTATTTGTGGCCTGATAACGGAATTTACAAAATTCATTGACATGAAATTAATTGACGAACCAAGTTTAACTAAAATAAAAGCAGTTACGACAAATAATGCAACATTCAATCTCCATTTCAGGATTAATTGTTAAAAATGATTTACAATCAACCCTTGTTTCAACGAATTTTGGTTCTGTCCCCCTTTTTAAAAATTTTTTGTTTCATATATAAATCGTGTTAAAGCGACAACGAATTTTTGGTAGGGATCTTGGAATATAAGAACTAATCGCGTTTCAACGAATTCACGTGACAATAGATCAACATGTAAATAAAAATTAAATCATACAATATTTAAACTTTATCAGACAAACAGCACTATTAAGCTATTGTTGGTTGCTTCGTTATTTTAGGCACAAAATGACATCAATATGATTGATATACTATTTATACAACCTTTCTATAAGATATAATTAAATCATATAATTAAACTTTAATAAACAGTGATGTTTGAAAGAATAGCTTAATAGTGATTGCCAGATAACATCGATATTGGGCGTGCGATGGACAATTTCAGTGACATGATATTGGCTGCTGTGTGCCCAATATCTTATTTGAAAAAAAAAAATTTCCAGGCAACGAGTATCACGTAAGCTCGTATTAATTGATCAATAGGGAGGGTTTTTTAATATATATTAGACTGTAATTTGGCACGTCGAATTTTTCATATTTCTTTCATTAATATTAATAATTTTATTAAAATATATGGCAGCATCTATTGATTTGTAAGCTAAAAAAAAAATTTTTTTATTTTTACAAGAATTTACCTGATGTGAAAGATCAATAACATTGACTCATATATATACTTTGTAATAATTTCTAGAATCCCTTTTTTAATCGAGTGTTTTGCCATAGTTTTAGTGGTTATTGCATTATTATTTTATTTTAATAGGTTATTTGCATTAATTGTAAGTCGCTTAATAAGAATTTATACATGGAGGAAATATAATGCTTACATCGAAATAGGTAGAGTACATTTTAATCAATTCAAGTAATAAATTCCATCCTTATAAACAAGAAGATTACTTATATAAGTTTGTTTATAGGTTCAATTAAGTTTGCACCACTTGCAGGACGAATTTTATTCAGAAATTTTAAATATTATTCCAAAAATCAATCATTTATAATAGTAAAGGGGCACATCACTTTTCAATATTGGCTATGGAATGTTCGTCAAGTGAACAACAATAATAATAACAATAATAACAATAATAACAATAATAACAATAACAATAATAACGACAATAATAACAATAATGGTACAAAATTCTTTGTATTTTGGAATAATTATTGTGATTTACTGATCTGATCCGATCTAAAAAATTTCTTCTTTTTTTATGTTTCTATAATCAAAAGAATTACCATGCAGAATTGTATGCCATTTTGATGGAATAGAATGGTTTGCATATAACAGGTCACCTGCTTATGATGTTCTTAATGACATTTTAACAACTTTAACAAATAATGGACCTAATTCAGATCAATCAAGTTATTCAAATTCACCAACTGATAGAGAGATTACTGGTGAATACTTTATATGTATATAATTTTATAAATCAATATTTAAGTTAATAACTTTGTGTAAATACACACTTATATATACTTTAGTGGATGATTGCAATGATCAAAATGAAAATGATTTTGGAAATTCATTTCTTTGCAAATTGTTACCAATTCAGATAGATTGTGAACGTGGTGCTTTTATAATTGGCAATCCAAAAACACCTTCTCTTCTGGTTGCTGATTTTTCACAATCAAGTGGTATATATGATGCTGTTAAAGTATATATTATCTATTATAGTATATGATTTATCATCAATTGAATTCATTGTATTTATTGTATTCATCATATAATATATATATATATAGTCAAGGTCAAAGTTTGATTATTATAAATCAATAATACATTTAAAGTTTGGAGAACCAAAAATACATTTGGAAACTAATTTAGATTATAAAGAAACAAATTTAGACACAGGTGCTCGTATGGAAGAAGAAAATATAATAAATGTGTGAGTATTTTATATATATACATCTTATTCATAAATATCATAAGAATACTAATGAAAATAAATTTTAAAGATCTTCTGACAGAGGAAGTGTTTGGTCACCTTTGAAAAATAAGGTCTTTAAACATTTGCCATTCTTAAAAGATTCTAGTTTAGAAGATATTACTGAATGGCATGGACTTCCTAGATATCCTTTATTATTATTGGCTTGTTCTTAAATTATTTTTTTTTGACAAAAGTTAATTCCTTAACAAATTTAATAAAAACACATATCGCACTGATAGTAATTCACCTGATGACACCATTAATGGGGAGTATGCAAAAGAACAAAACATCCTTGAATGTTT